TTAAACAAGAGTTACTCTTGCATTTTTTCAGAGACAAAATCTGATACTTTTGTAAACTTAACTTCCCACCAATTCCGTATGAGTATGTTCATACCTGAGGCCCCTCTGACCCCAAGCAAACAAATAGATAATAGAGTAATTGAACAGGAAGCCGCTGAAAGCTTCCACTGGAACAGACTCATTCAATTACTGTTGTCGACCGGAGGTCTTGGGCCCGCCACCCTACCTCAGAAATGAAATCGATCCATCCCTCGCCCCCACCTGATCCGTGCCCTCTGGGTGGCGGACCCTGTTCCACCCGCTTCCACCCACACTGTCCCGGTAAAAAAACACCCTGTGGATTGCATCCAACCGCGCCACTTGCTGCCCCCAAACCCACACCCTCGCCTGAGACGGAATGTGCAGGTATGCTTCAGCTTTCTTTATATATATATGTCCGTTTACATGCACCTATTTCTTTTTCCGATTGTTATCCCTCGCACATTTATCCAATGGAGCATGCATGTTGTTGTCCGACTAGTTTTTGCCTTGCATGTCGTTTGAAAGCCTTGTCACCACGGCACGAAGGCTAGCTTGCCTTTTACTTTCACGTATCTCGCTCCGATGTTTCGTGTTATATGTCTGAATGATGAGCATATCTACTGCACCTGATCGGTTGCGCGTCGGATTTATCTATCCTTTTTGGCTCAGATTCTACCGATATGTTTCACAGACGAATTAGGTGCTGCCATTAACGGTCTGGCCGTTTTTTTCCACGGAGGGCTAACAGGTAACCCAGCTGGTTTATGTGTCCATCAGGTAGTGTAATAAACTCCAAACACATGAGATATTGATACCAATCGTTCAACTTCTAGTAGAACATACTGCTTGATTTGGGGTGTTGTACTGATTGGTATGTCAATTTAAATAATGAACATCGATAAATGTGGTTTCTTGAAAAGAAACCTTTCTCACTCTCCTTCATGTGGCTAGTAAGAGTAGTCCTAATGCTTATTTGCAGCAAAATTCGTTTGGTTCTTTTCATAGCTGAAAAAATTAATTTGATGAGAGCATTATCCGAAGTTCGTGAGAACGCGCAACTTTTTGCTGGAACAATTTCCATAAGAAATTAATTTATATACGGTAGTCGCCGGCTATTAAGCCCACCTTGGGCCCAGACCAAATTGGGCTTAAT